TGAAGCATTCTTTCAAATAATGAGAGAAATATATCCTATTAATAATAGTAATCAATAAAGTATTTAGTTTTTTATAACTTTTTAATTATTACAGTTATACTTATGCCTATTCCGTCCTCACATACTTCTACATATATTTTGTTAATAACTTTTTAACGAATAACGAGCGACGGCTAAAACCACTTGAAGGTCACTTGGGGTCATGCCCTTGAAAACATATATAAAGGTCAAGGTCATTGGAGTAGCCTCCCTTCATCGATATATTTACCAAAAGATTTACGTCAGCGAGGTTATAAACTTTTTCCAGCAGACAAAGAGTTAATCAGACCATCCGGACAAGCCTTGACACCGGATGGAATGTTAAAAGTGCAACTGAAATTCCGTAAAATATGTGTCAGTCGCTACGTTTACGTGATTCGTGACGCGGAACAATGTCTGCTTGGTCGTCAGGAATGTGTTTCCTTAAAAATGATTGCGAGATGTAATCAAGTCACGGTAGATCCCTTTAAAGAATTTCAATCGCTGTTTAGTGGACTGGGCCTTTTGACTACGCCGTATGAAATCAAGATGAAACCGGATGCCAAACCTTATTGCTTAAATCAATCTTGCCGTGTACCATTACCTTTGATGCCGAAATTGAAGCAGAAACTCGACGAGATGCTTAAAATGAATGTAATCAAACCAGTCGATGAACCGACGAACTGGTGTAGCGGATTAGTAATAGTCAAGAAACGCGGAACCGAAGACATCCGTATGTGCGTAGACCTGACATTCCTGAATCGTGCCGTGGCACGAGAAAATCATCCGATGCCGGTAGTGGAACATATTCTAGGTCAGATGACAGGAGCCAAATATTTTTCGAAGTTTGATTGCGTCAGTGGATTTTGGCAAGTACCACTATCAGAAGAGTCTCAGTTACTGACAACATTTATTACGCCATTTGGAAGATACTGCTTTTTACGCCTACCGTTTGGAATTTCATCAGCACCGGAGCATTATCAAAAAAGGATGTCAAGAATCTTAGAAGGCTTGGAAGGTGTGATTAACCACACAGACGACATTCTTGTTTGGGGAGCAACTCAAATCGAGCATGATTCCCGTCTCCGTCAAGTGCTTAGAAGACTTACAGAAAATAATATAACTCTAAACAAAGCAAAATGCGTTTTTAGTGTCCAAGAAATTAAATTTTTGGGACATGTGATTAGTGCAAATGGCATAACAATAGATCCAAGTAAGGTCGAGGCAATAAGAAAGCTGAAACCTCCAAAAACTATATCGGAGGTAAGATCATTTATCGGAATGGTGCAATACTTAGAAAAATTTGTACCCAAATTATGCGATTTACTTGCACCTTTTTACAAGTTAATAAAAAAAGGAGCAGATTTCAAATGACAAGAAAGTCACGAACGCGCATTTTCTGAAATATGTCATGGATTAACGATAACACCATGTCTGGCTATTTTCGATCCATCATGTCCAATTATACTATCAGCTGATTCTTCTTTTTATGGACTCGGAGTAGTCCTACAAATTCAAGAAACTAATGGAAACTGGAGACCAGCGGCATATGCATCCAAAACTTTAAGCGATACGGAAAAACGCTACGCACAAATTGAAAAAGAGGCCTTAGCGTTATCTTGGGCTTGTGAAAGATTTCATGAATTTATTTACGGAACACATTTCTAGTTGGAAACCGACCACAAACCATTAGTTCCTTTACTTCAAGTCAAA